TGCCCCAGAGGCCTCCCCAAATAGCAAGACCCTGCCTGCTGCTGCTGCTGCTGCTGCTGCTGCTGTTGTTGTTTTCTTCTGCAGCGGGCAGAAAGGAAGGGAGGGGCCTGCCAGGTGTGGAGTGGGGAGGAGGTAGGGGCAAAGGGGAGCTGCCCATCAGGGTGGGGATCAGGGGGGACCTCTCCTGATGGTCCCCCCCTGGGCCTCGGTTCTTTGGAAACAGTAGAAACTGAAGCCATGCCGGCCATGGTGATCGGGTGACATGTGTGGGTGTGGATGTGTGGACAGGCTGCCAGGGACAAGCAAGGTCTCTCTCTGCGTGCAATCTCTACCCTTTCCCAGGCCTCAGATGGGGTGTGCAGGAGCAAGGCACCCCCCCCCCCCCCCCCCAAAAAAAAGCCCTGCAGACTCTGTCTGCTCTCCTAATCACAGTTTCCCTATGTTACTCTTCGCTTTGGATATCAAGGTTCCTCCCTTGAGTGTCATGGCAAGAGGGAACCGTGTAGGACTACATGCCCAAATCCTAGGAACGTTAAAAGTTACAACCAGGCCAGGTGGTAGTGGCTCACGTCTTTAATCCCAGCATGTAAGGAGGAGGCAGAGGCAGGAGGAGCTCTGTGAGTGTGAGGCCACCTTGGTCTATAGAGTGAGTTCCAGGACAGCCAGGGCTACACAGAGAAACCCTGTCTTAACAAACAAACAAAAGTTATGACCAGGCTGGTAGAGCACTTGCCAACCAAGCAAAAGCCCTGGGTTCCAACACACACACACACACACACACACACACACACACACACACACACACGTCCCTGTCCCAGGCTTGGGGATGTTCGTGTGTCGTTAAGTGCCTGATTGTGAAACTGTGAGAACTTCAGAGTTCTGAGTAGCTGGACACTGAAATCTTCCCACACTAAGGCATTCAAGTATTAGAATCTTAAGTTTATCTTGTTGCTACATCATAAGAATCCTAGATGACACTGATAATACGACAGTTACCGTTGGAAACCAGAATGTGTAATTCTATAATGAGAGCACGTTGGAATCCAAAAACATCAGATTTAGGCTTTTCTCAGGCTCCTGGAAATGGATCCTTCGGGCTTTGGGGAAGCAGCAGGAACAGGGCCTCCTCCCCCATTTTTTCCAGGCGGTGAAACTAGTTTAGAAAGTGATCTCCCAGGCCTGGCCCTTTTGTAATCCCAGCACTGGGAAGGCAGAGGCAGGAGGATCAGGAGCTTTAAGTCAGGCTAGGACATCTCCAGACCCTGTCTCAGAGACAGAGAGAGTAAAAGAAAAAAGGAAACTAGATCAAGCCACCATGAGGGGCGAGGCTTTCTGTAGAAAGGGGCTGGTTTTCTGTAGAAGGTGCAGGGTGGGCAGGGCTGTGCCCACCAACTCCCCAAGTCCAGCCCAGCTCTCACTGGGCTTGATGGTAAGCAGGGCTGGGGCTCCAGCACATTGTCCCTGGAGTGAAATCCTTGGTACCAGAGAGTTCAGATCCCCAGGGTCCCCTCCTCAGGCCCAGCCTAGTTTGTTTTCTGCTCTTCCTGGGGTACAGGTGCTGTAATTTAGGGCCCCTTCCTGCCTGCCTTCCTTCCCGGTGCCCCACCTGGGCAGTTTCACTTTCTGTTTTACGGTGTTTCATTTCCTGTCCCCTCCCCACGCA